TGTTTATTGTAGCCTTGCTTAATAATAGTGGATATTGTAGTTTGTATTAATCTCCAAGTATTATTGCTGGCATTTGCTGGGATTAGTGGTTGTTCTATGGGAATTTTCTCCATATATATATATATATCGATATTACAAATTTCAAATATATATATATTACGAATTTTCTTCAAATATATATATAGTTTGTTTCCCCTTTCTCTCTTAGTCTTCTTCTTCTTCTTCTTCTTCTTCTTCTTCTTCTTCTCTCTCTCTCTCTCTCTCTCTCTCTCTCTCTCTCTCTCTCTCTCTCTCTCCATTTCTCTCTCTCTCTCTCTTTTATTTTTTTTTCTTCTCCCTGTTTCCAAAATTCATTTTGGCATTACTTTTTTACTTCTTTTTCTATCTCTTTATTAGTCACTTATTTTTTTTTACCTTTCTTCTTTCTCTCCTATCCCCTAATTTGCCTTTCTCTAGTGGTCACCTTTAGTAGAGGTTATTAATATCGCAAATACATTCATGTTCAGTGCTTTTTTGTGTTGTACCTGATAGTGTTGTATTTTGTGCCTTTAAATCAACGCAGGAGAAAGATAACCACAAAAACAGACATCCTGAAAAGACAGACCATGGGCAGACAAAGAAATAGCCCGCACATGAAAGAAAAGCAGGCATCACCAGAAAAGGAAGTAAATGAGTTAGAGGCAAGCAACCTACCAGAGCAGGAATTCAGAGTAATGATCATAAAATGGCTAAAAAGAATGGAAGAGAAATTTGACAATAGCCAAGAAGAAATGAAGAAGAACCATAAGGAATTAAAGAAGAACCAAGAGGAAATGAAGATGAACCAAGAAGAAATGAAAAATGACTTCACTACTATGAAGAACTCAATTGAAAGCATCAACAGTACACTAGGAGAAGCAAAGGACCACATAAGTGAGCTAGAATACAAGATGGAAAAAAATACCCAATTAGAGCAGCTTCTAGAAAAAATAAAAAATAAAAAGCAGGAGGAGAAACTACGGAAGCTTTGGGACAATACAAAACACAGCAATATTTGAATAATAGGGGTTCCAGAAGGAAAGGAAACTGAGGTAGACATGGAAAACATATTTCAAGAAATAATGACAGGAAATTTTCCTGAGAGAGAGAACAAAAAACGCACACTAATCCAAGTTGCTCGCAAAGTCCCAAGAAAAAGGAATGTCAGAAGACCGGCTCAAAGGCACATTAAAATTAAATTGGCAAACACCAACAACAAAGTAAGAATCTTAAAAGCAGCCAGAGAGAGACAGAAAGTTACATACAAAGGAACCTCCATCAGACTAGCAACTGATTTCTCACAGAAACTTATCAAGCCAGAAGGGAATGGGATGAAATATACAAAGTCATGCAAAGGAAGGGTCTGAATCCAAGAATACTGTACCCAACAAGGCTATCAATTAACATTAAAGGGGAAATCAGGAGCATCACAGACAAAAAAAAAAAAAAAAAAAGACTGAAGGAATTTATCTCCACCAAACCAGCAATGCAAGAAATGCTAAAGGGTCTACTGTAAAAATAAAGAAATAGGAAGCAAAGAAGAAACACAGAGGTATAGAATAAAAATGGTGTCAAATGAGTACCTTTCAATAATATCTTTAAATGTAAATGGATTAAATGGTCCAATCAAAAGACATAGGGAAACAGATTGGATAAGAAATCAAGACCCATACACCTGTTGTCTACAAAAAACCCAGCACAGAAAAAAAGAGGCACACAGACTGAGGGTGAAGGGATGAAAAAAGGTTTTCCAGGAGAATGGAAATGAAAAAAAAAAAAAAAAAAGCTGGAGGAAGCAATACTTATATCTGACAAATTAGATCTCAAAGTGAAGGACATAACAAGAGATAATGAAGGCCACTTCATAATACTAAAGGGAGAAATCCAACAAGAAGAAATAACCCTGGTAAATATAAATGCACCCAATACAGGAGCACCCAAATACATTAAAAAAAAAACCTGCTGTAGGACATTAAGGGAGAGATTAATAGCAATACAATCATAGTACGAGATTTTAATATCCCACTTTCACCCTTCGACAAATCATCTAAACAAAAATCAGAAAAGAACTATCAATCCTAAATGACTCACTAGACCAGCTGGAAATAATCGACATCTTCAGAACATTCCACCCCAAAGCCACAGAATATACATTCCTCTCAAGTGCATATGGGACATTCTCAAAGATAGACCACATGTTGGGACATAAGCAAAGTTTCTTCAAATTCAAGAAAAATAGAAATTATATCAAGCATCTTCTCAGATTAGAGTGGCATAAACCTGGAAATTAACTAAAATAAAAATAATCCAAAGAAATGAAACACATGGAGACTAAATAGCATGTTATTAAACAGGGACTGGGTTACCAGAGAAATCAAGGAAGAAATTAAAAACATCCTGGAAACAAGTGACAATGAAAACACAACAATCCAAAACTATGGGACACAGCAAAAGCAGTTTTGAGAGGGAAGTTCATATCCTTACAAGCCTATTGCAGAAAACAAGAAAAAATGGTAACAAATTATCTAACTCTACAACTCAAAGAGTTAGAAAAAAAGCAACAAGAAAAAACCAGTGTAAGCAGAAAGAAGGAAATAACAAAAATCAGACTGGAGATACATGACATAGAGACCAAAGAAACACTACATAAGATCAACAAAACCAAGAGCTGGTTCTTTGAAAGGATAAACAAGATAGATGAACCTCTAGCCAGGCTAACCAAGAAACAAAGAGAGAGGACTCAAACAAAATCAGAAATGAAAGAGGTGAAATAACAACAGACCCCGCCAAAATTCAAAGGATTTGAATTTACTACAAACAACTGTATTCCAACAAACTGAACAACCTGGAAAAAATGGACATATTCCCAGAAAAATAAAATCTTCCAAAACACAATCAGGAAGAATCTAAAAATCTCAATAGACCAGTGACTTGGGAAGAAATTGAAACATTCATCAAAAATCTTCCAGCAAACAAAAGCCCAGGACCAGATGGCTTCACAGGAGAGATTTAAGAAACATTCAAAGAGGAACTAAAACCTATTGTCCTCAGACTATTCCAAAAAATTCAAGAGGATGGAACACTTCCAAACTCCTTCTATGAAGCCAGCATCACCATAATACCAAAACCAGATAAAGACAACTCAATGAAAGAGAATTACAGGCCAATATCCCTCATGAACATAGATGCCAAAATCCTTAATGAAATTTTAGCAAATTGGCTCCGGCAGAGCATCACAAAGATCATACACCATGACCAAGTAAGATTTATTCCAGGAATGCAAACGTTGGTACAATATCCGCAAATCAATAAACACAATACATCACATGAACAAATTGAAAGATAAAAATTATATAGTCATATCAATTGATGCAGAAAAAGCAATTGATAAAAATCCAACATGCTTTCCTGATAAAAACTCTCAACAAGGTGGGAGTACAAGGATCATACCTCAACATAATAAACGCTATATATGATAAACCCACAGTAAACATCATACTCAATGGGCAAAAACTAAAACCATTCCCTCTAAGAACAGGAACAAGACAGGAATGCCCACTCTCACCACTCCTATTTGACATAGTTCTGGAAGTACTAGCCATTGCAATTAGATAAGAAGAGGAAATAAAAGGCATCCAAATTGGAAAAGAAGAAGTAAAGTTATCCTTATTTGCAAATGACATGATATTGTACATAAAAAAACCCAAAAGACTCCATTAAAAAACTAATTGCCTTAATAAATGAATTTGACAATGTAGCAAGATACAAAATTAACGCCAAAATATCTATGGCATTTCTATACACCAACTGTGAACTTATAGAAACAGAGACTAAAAAAGCAATTCCATTTACCATCGCACCAAAAAAATTAAGATACCTAGGAATAAACTTAACTAAGGAAGTAAAGGACCTATTTGCGGAAAACTACACGACACTGAAAAAAGAGGTAGAGGAAGATGTAAACAGATGGAAGAACATACCATGTTCATTGATTGGTAGAATCAACATCATCAAAATGTCCATACTTTCCAAAGCAATCTATAGGTTCAATGCACTCCCCATTAAAATACCAACAGCATATTTCACTGACCTAGAAAGAACTCTCCAAAAGTTCATTTGGAACAATAAAGACCCTGAATAGCCACAGCAATCCTGAGAAAGAAGAGTAAAGTAGGAGGGATCTCAATACCAGACTTCAAGCTGTATTACAAAGCCACTGTTCTCAAAACAGCCTCGTACTGGCACAAGAACAGACATATTATAGATCAATGGAATAGAATGGAGAACCCAGATATCAACCCAAATCACTATGCTCAATTAATATTTGACAAAGGAGGCACGAATATATAATGGAGTCAAGACAGTCTCTTCAATAAATGGTGTTGGGAAAATTGGACATGCAAAAGAATGAAACTAGATCACCAACTGACACCATACACAAAAATAAACTCAAAATGAATACAGGACTTAAACATCAGACGGGATACCATAAAAATACTAGAAGCATCCACAGGCAGCAAAATCTCAGACATATGCCAAAAGAATTTCTTCACTGATACTGCCCTTAGGGCAATGGAAGCTAAAGAGAAAATAAACAAATGGGACTACATCAAAATAAAAAGCTTTTTTACAGAAAAAGAAACCATCAACAAAACAAAACAAGAAAGCCCACTGTTCCAATGTTATCACTGATAAAGGTTTAATCTCCAACATCTATAGACAGCTCATACAACTAAATAAAAGGAAAATGAATGATCCAATTAAAAAATGGGCAATGGACCTAAATAGAATATTTTCAAAAGAAGACAGAAGGAAGGTCAAAGAGGCACATGAAAACATGCTCAAAGTAACTAATTATCAGAGAGATGCAAATCAAAATGACAATGCATTACCATCTCACACCTGTCAGAATAGTCAACATCAACAAATCAACAAATGACAAGTGTTGGTGAGGCTGCAGAGAAAAAGGTACCCTCATGCACTGCTGGTGGGAATGCAGACTAGTACAACCACTGTGGAGGACAGTATGGAGTTTCCTCAAAAAACTGAAAATGGAATTCCCATTTGACCCAGTAATCCCACTCCTAGGAACATAACCCAAGAAACTAGAAACACCAATCAGAAAGGATATATGCACCCCTATGCTCATAGAAGCACAAACTACAATAGCTATAATTTGGAAACAGCCTAGGTGCCCATCAGCAGATGATTGGATAAAAAAAAAAAGCTATGGTACATCTACACAATGGAATACTAAGCTGCCATAAAAAGAAGGAATTCTCATCATTTGCAGCAACCTCAATAGAATTAGAGAACATTATACTGAGTGAAATAAGCCAGTCAATGAAAGAGAAATACCACATGACCTCACTCATTTATGAATATTAAAGAACATTATAAACTGATGAACCGAAAGACAGATATAAAGACAGTAAAGCAATAAGCAGACTGTCCAATTACAGTGGGAAGGGAAGGGAGATCTGGGGGAGATAAGAGATCAACCGAAGGACTTGTATACATGCATATAAGTACAACCAATGGACACAAAACTCTGGGGAGGGAGGGTATGTATGGGTGGGGGAAGCAATGTTAAAATATGTACACAGATAATAATTTAATAAAACAAAATTAAACATCCTTATAACCATTACTCTGAATTCTATCTCTGTTAAGCTGCTAGCCTCAAATTCATTTAACTCCCTTTCTGGTGGTTCCTCTTTTTCTTTCCTTTGGGGATTGCTTTTTTGTATTCCCATGTTTTCCTGTAATGTTTTAATTGTAGATCCAATTGCTTTGCTACCCAGGTTCTTTTGGGGATGGTGCTACTGGCATAATCTCTCAGTTCTCCTGAGTTTGTTAATCTAGTGTAGCTCCCTACTTGTGCTATTTGGGTTCCTGTGATGTAGGCCTGTGAGCTTGAGAAGCACAACTGCAGTGTCTAGAAGTTAGTCGCCATGGAGGGGAGTGTCCAAATTTTTTATGTCTTGCCGAAACTGGTTTGGCTCAGTGGTAGAGTGTCGGTCTGTGGACTGGGGGGTCCCAGGTTCGATTCTGGTCAAGGGCATGTACATTGGTTGTGGGCACATCCCCAGTAGGGTGTGTGCAAGAGGCGGCTGGTCGATGTTTCTCTCTCATTGACGTTTCTAGCTCTCTATCCTTCTCTCCTCCTCTCTGTAAAAAATCAATAAAATATATTAAAAAAAAAATTTTTGATGTCTTGCACCCTTAATTGAAATCACACGTGCCCAGTAGGGATTCACAGTGTCACCCAGAATCCATATGTTGGGGTTATAGGGCTCAGGGGCCCTACTCTCTGTAAAGGCATGACTGTGGTGCCCAGAGTTCTGCAGACATGGGGTGGGCAGACCCAGCTTTTGCTGTTGCAGCTGTGGTGGATAGACACTTACTCCCAATGGCGGCTCACAGGAGAACCCGTGGTACATTTGCCATCAAGGCACACTGAAGGACTCTGAAGGGCCCTGGCAGTGTAGCCACACAATTGAGGTGCCTGTCGGCCGGTATCCAGTATGAGTTAATTAAAAAGTTCTACTGCTGGGGTGTAGTGCACCCCACGCTTGTTCAAGATTGCACCCAGGGAGAGCTCACAATGGCTCCCACTAGTGCCCTATGGGTAGGTAGTTAGGCTCAGGGTGCCTGCCTTATGGAACTTTGCCTCTGCGGGTTGCACTTTTCAGACACAGGGTTCTGATGCACTCTGAGGGGTGCACTGGAGTGAATGTGGGCATTTATCCAGGAAGAGGGAATTCAGAATTTCTACCATGAGGCTGCAAGCCCCTGTATTTGAAGAATCACACCCTCAGTGCTTTCAGTAGTTCCCAAGGGCTGCCGAAGGAGTAGAATGCCCTGGCTGCCTGCACAGCTGGGCTGGAAATGTGTGGATCCAGATTGGAGTGCTCTGGCAGCCTGTGGGGCTGGATAAGCATGAATCTGGAGTTCTGCCACTGGACATGGGGAGGGTTGCACTTAAATCTGCTGAGCAGTGCACCTTTGGAGGTGGAGGCCCCAAGGTCCATGGGTCTGTGGGTAATGCAGCAGTATGTGGCTAGAGTGGTCGTGGGACAGTTCCAAGGCCTGTCTGGTTGGTGGTGTTGATGAGTTCCTAAAAAAAGGCCATTCTCCCCTTCAAGATGGCATGGGCTCCATGCTGGAGTCCCACCATCTGGGAAGTGCCCACAGCGGTGGTAGTCTCTTCTTGTCAAGGAGAGCCTGTATGCCAGCCCCTGCTGCTCCTGTGACATTTAACTTTTCTTCACTCACTCATACACACACCACGCACAACCATACACTCTCCTTTCATACCCTCACTCACTTCCTCTCCCTCACCTCTGTACTGCCAGTGGCCATATTTTTGGGCTCCTGTCCCACAACTTTTTTTTATCCATTCATGTACTGATGAGAACTTGGGCTGTTTCCAAATCTTAAGTATTGTATTATAAATAATGCTGCTATGAACATAGGGCTGCATATATATTCGTTGATTGGTGTTTTGGGGGTTTTATAATATATTCCAAGAAGTGGAATTGCCAGGTCAAAAGGAAGTTCCATTTTTAATATTTTGAGAAAAATGCATACTGTTTCTGTTAGTGGTTGCATCTATATGCATTCCTACCAACAGTATACTAGAATTCCTTTTTCTCCACATCCTCACCAGAACTTGTCATTTGTTAATTTGTTGATAGTAGTCATTCTTACAGGTGTGAGGTGATAGTTCATAGTTAATTTAATTTGCATCTCTCTGATTATCAGAGACATTGAGCATTTTTTCATATGTCTCTTGGCCATCTATATGTCCGATTTGGAGAAGTGTCTATTTAGGTCCATTGCCCATTTTTTTTAATTGGATTGTTTGTCTTCCTCTTAAGTTATATGAGTTTCTTATATATATGGGATATTAATCATGATCAGATGTATCATTGCCAAATATGTTCTCCAATACAGTGGGCTACCATTTTATTTTGTTGATGATTTATTTTGCTGTGTGGATGCTTTTTATTAGGATGTAGTCCCATTTGTTTATTTTCTCTTTTGTTTCCATTGCCCTAGGAGATGTATGGGCAAACATATTGCTATGAGTGATGTATGAAACTTTGTTGCCTATGTTTTTTTTTTGTTGTTGTTATTTTTTTTAGGATTTTTATCGTTTTGCATCTTACATTGAAGTCTTTCATCCATTTTGAATTTATTACTTTGTATGATGTAAGTTGGTGATCTGGTTTCATTTTTTTTTTTTTTTTTGCATGTATCTGTCCAATTTTTCCAACTCCATTTATTTAAGAGACTGTCTGGACTCCATTTTATGCTCCTGCCTCATTTGTCAAATATTTACTAAGAATAATGACTTCAGTTGATTTCTGGGTTCTCTGATCTATATGACTGTTCTTGTGCCAGTACCACAATGTTTTGATTACAGTGGCTTTGTAGTATAACTTTATATCTGGTATTATGATTCCTCCAACTCTTGTTATACTTTCTCAAGATTTTGTGGCTATTTGGGGTCTTTTTTAGGTTCCATATAAAATTTTGGAATATTTGTGCTGGATCTGTGAAATATGCCATTGGTATTTTAATAAGGATTGCATTGAATCTATACAGTAAATTGCTTTGGGTAGTGTGGGCATTTTAATGATGTTTATTCTACCAATCCATGAATTCCATATATTTCTTCACTTGTTGATATCTTTCTCTATCTCCTTTTTCAAAGTCCTGCAGTTTTCTGAATACAAATAGGTGTTTTATCTCATTGGTTAAGTTTAATCCTAAGTATCTTAATTTTTTTGTTGCAATTGTCAATGGGATTTTTTTTGTCTGTTTATCTTTCTCAGAATTCATTATTGTTTTTTAATGTCATCAATTTCTGGGTATTAAATTTGTATCCTGCTACATTGATGAATTCATTTATTAAATCTAATAGTTTTTTGGTGGAGTCTATAGGATCTTCTTTGAAAAATATTGTTATCTAACAATAATACAGTTTTACTTTCTTCTTTTCAAATTGGCTGCCTTTTATATTTTCTTCTTTTCTTATCACTGTGCCTAAGACTACCAGTACTATGTTGAATAAGAGTAGTGAAACTTGATGTCCCTGTCTTGTTCCTGTTTTAGTGGAAATGGTTTTAGTTTTTGCCTTTTGAGTATGATGTTGGCTGTAGGTTTGTCATATATAGCCTTTATTATGAGCCTTTATTATGTTGTGGAATGTTCCCTCTATTCCCCCATTGCTAAGAGTTTTTATCAAAAATCAGTGTTTAATTTTGTCAAATGCTTTTTCTATATCAATTGGTATGGTCATGTGATTTTTGTCCTTCAATTTGTTTATGTGATATATTTCATTTACTGATTTGCAAATATTGTACCAGCCTTGCATCATTGGAATAAATCCCACTTGGTCATGGTGTATGATCTTTCTAATATAATTTGAAATCTGATTTGCTAATTTCTTTTTGAAGATTTTAGCATCTATGGTCATCAGGAATATTGGCATGTAATTTTCTTTCTTTGTAGTGTCTTTATCTGGTTTTGTAAGTAGGATAATGCTGGCTTCATAAAAAGAGCCTGGAAGTATTCCTTTCTCTTGGATATTTTATAATAGTTTAAGGAGTGTATGTGTTGGTTATCTTTTTAATGTTTGGTAAAACTCTCCTATGAAGCTGTCCAGAGTAAGGTTTTTGTTTGCTTGAAGTTTTTTTTTTTGTGTGTGTGTGTGTATGTGTGTTGTTGTTTTGTTTTGTTTTTGTTTTGTTTGTTTGTTTGTTTGTTTTGCTGCTTCCATTTAATCAGTTGACATTGGCCTATTCAGGTTTTCTGATTCTTCCTGATTCAGCTTTGGAAGATTGTATATTTCTAGGAAATTATCTATTTCATCCACATTGTCCAACTTGTTGGCATATAGTGGTTTATAGAATTTTCTTACAACCCTTTCTATTTCTGTGGTGTGAGTTGTTACTTCACTGCTTTCATTTCAGATTTTACTTTTGGGGGGTACTTTCT